ACAGACACACACACTAAAATAAGGAAAGAACTCATGAGTTGAATAATCGCCATGAAAATGTAAAAGTACTTAGAATTCCCCGCGTATGCATTCTTAAACAATATAGCTTAATTTTGCCAAATGCATATGGGTTAACTTCATGTAAATATCTTCGTGCCTGACTCCAGAGCCAGTCAGATGTTGCTGCATCTGGCTGTGTTTATTCATTACAAGCCATGGCGTGGCTTTTCTGGAAGAGGAGAAGGGGACTATGGTTGCAGGTACATGGGGCTTGTTTTGGGCTAAAGTTCTACAGCTTTGGAAACTGTTTTGAATGCCACCTGCATTCATTCGCAGATTGGTGTCACTGCACCACCTCCAGCCATAATAGGAATTAGGGCAGATGTTTATTTTTTATTATTTCTGGGCCTGGGTGCTGTCCCTCAGCTCTTCAGCTCAAGGCAAGTGCTCTACCACTTGAGCTACAGCACCACTTCCAGTTTTCTGGTTGTTTATTGGCAATAAGAGTCTCCTGGCCTTTCCTGCCTGGGCTGGCTTTGAACTGCGATTCTTAGCTCTCAGCCTCCTGAGTAGCTAGGATTACAGGTGTGAGCCCCCAGCACCCAGCTCAAATTATCTTTGTGTGTGTGTGTGGTATGTGCACACATGCATGTGTGTACACCAATCCTGGGGCTTGAACTCCGGGCCTGGGCACTGTTTCTGAGTTTGTTTTTTTCATGGCTAGCCTTCTACCACTTGAGCCATAGCTCCACTTCCACTTTTTGTTGTTGTTGTTGTTGTTACTGAATTGAGATACAAGTCTCACAGACTTTCCTGCCTAGGCTGGCTTCAAATCTTGATCTCAGCCTCCTTCGTAGCTAGGATTCTGGGCATCAGGCACTGGCCTTTGGTTTTATTATCTTTAAGTAGTTGTACAAAGGATCTTAGTTCAGCATGTAAGTTTGTGAGAACACCCCATTTTGATCAGTGTCACCCCTTTCCTTGTTCTTCAGGGGATGTTTAAAGGACTCCGTTGTAAGTTTCCACTTCAAGGTGCAGCTGTGACCATTACCAGTCACCTTCTTCCCCAGGTAACTGAAGGACCCAGAAGTCATCCACATTTTCTTTACAACAAAACACTGACAAGACGCTGGGACCTGTGAACAATTTTCTGTTTGTATCTCAAATAATATGAAGTCTGGTTCTCTCTTTTTTTTTTTTAGCAACTACGTTTATGTTTAAGCAGCTTCACTAAGGTCTGATGGACACACGAACCTGGACACATTCAGTGTGTGCTATTTATGACCTTTGATTTGTGTGGACATCAGTAAAATTCACTGCAGTCAAGATGACAGGCATAAAACTATCACCTTCAAATTTCCTTTGTCCTTGTGTGTTTGGTAAGAACCCTTAAGATGAGATCTACATTTTAACCAGTTCCTAAGTGCCCACCCACTACGTGTGCTGCTGACTGCAGCAGCCCGGTGTGGAACCGCAGAGCTCAGAGCCAGTTTAACTGGAAGACAGCTTACAGTACATGGCAGTAAAGGAAAAAAGTACAATTAATGATTTGTGGATGATCACCCACTTCCAGGTAGAATTGACTGACAGGACTCCAGGCCAATGGTATTTGGAGGGTCCATGCCCTCACCAAGCTCAGCTGATCTTAAGAGATCAGAACAGAACGGAGGTCTACGGACACTGCAGGCCCTGCTGAGTCACACACAGGCCTTCTGAGATGCTGTGAGAGCACACACGGATCTCAGGGATCCCCAAGTAAGAGAATTCTGTTAGGTGAGGGCAGAACTGAGCCTGAAGACTGAAAGGGCCAGGATGTCTATTTGTCCACATCTGTCTTACCCACCCCCTTCCAAAGGCTTCCAACACCTTTCTTCACCGCCTGACATCAGCATGTACCACATAGCCACACACATCCACCTGGCTGGGTCCCCTTTGTGGGGCAGTGTGAGACTTTGAGGTGTGGTTCTTACTTTTTTCTGAGGTGAGGAGGCAGTTGCTGTCTTGGTAGAACCCAACATGGAACTCAGACAGCTCAGCTGAGTCAACCCCGCATCATAATGCTAGCGGAGGGCTCTGTCTTTTGTCCAGAGACCAAACAACGCTGAGCATTCTCCTTTCAAAATGGACTTTAAAACCGGCATGTTAGAGGGAAAACAATTAGTCTTAAAAGTTTGGCTGTTGAGCACGGACAACAGAACCCAAGGAGCACTTCTGTGGGCACACAGCCTGCTGACCACACCACAGTGGATGTCGCACTGGAGTCCGGCTTTCTGAGGCCAGCTCTGAACGCTGAGTGCGGGTGAGGCCACTTGCCGTCCAGACCAAATCCGCACAACATCATCCAGTGCTTTCAGAAACAGCTGGGGAGAGGGTAGAGGTGAGACCTGAAGGCCTGGCTCCCAACCCAATGATGACAGGCAGGAAGTGTGGGTGCCTCAGGCAGTGGCGGCAGAAATTGCTGGGGGCCACCATTTCCTCATTGGAGATCTTTGCAGATTTTGGCCCAGAGGATCAACTGCTGCTTGTGGCTGTGGATGGGGCAGGAACTTGTGGTTTTGGCCCTGCTCTCCCCACTCTTCCCTCTTCTCTCAGCTGGGATTCCCAGTGTCAAACCTCTTTTTATTTTGGTGGGTTTTGTTTAAATAATGCAGAGCAAAGGAGTACATTTGGCAAGTCTTTAAATCATGAAGAATGACAATGCAAAGTTGAACAAGAAGCAGGAGACTCCACCGTGGACTCCAAAGTTTGCAATTATTATTCCTATTGGGTTTCACCTCCCACCTTCATCTAGATAGGACGGGGATTCTATGACATAGCTTTGATGATAGGCTTTGGCCGCACCCAGCTATTAGCTGATGGGGCTGTGAACTATTTACCTGGGCCTGCTATTTCCCAATCTCTGCCTCTCAAGTACCTAGGATCTAGGTGTAAGCCACTAGAGCTCAGCCCGTAAATAAACTTTCTTAACGTGACCATATTTGAGGTAAAAGAACTGCTAGCCGGACACTGGCAGCTCCTGCCAGTAATCTTAGGTACTCAGGAAGCTGAGGGCTGAGATTTGAAGCTAGCCTGGGCAGAAAAGTTGAGACTGTTATCTCCAATTAATCTCAGAAAAAGCCAGAAGTGGCTCAACTGTGTTAGCCTTTAGCAATAGGAGCTCAGTGACAGCGCCCAGGCTTGGAGTTCAAGCCCTCCAACTAACAACAAAAACAGAAAGGAAAGAAAGAAGAAAGGAAAGGAGGGGGGGAAAGAAGGAGAGAGAGACAGAGACAGAGACAGAGAGGACAGAGACATTTAACATGTCAGGAGCTGGGACAAAAAGACCACCGGTGGCCTGTGACTTCCAGTCTGTGGGGTGGAATTGGTCCTCCAAGCCCAGTCGGTGGCTGGCTTCTTTCTACAGGACTATTCTGCAGAGGCTCTTGTACACAGAAGGCCTAGACCTGGTTTCATGGAGTCTGAAACCACCATGAATGCACTCTAAAATACTTGAATTAGCAGGAATGTGAGAGAGTGACCTTTGCGACCTCTGTCAATACCCACTCTTGCAACACGGGACATTTTGATGTCACATCAACTGCACTGCCGCAGTCTCCAGGCTAGAGGCAGATCAGGGTGGGGAGGTGGCTGAGGTCTGCAGCCCACCCACCCACTTGCGAGGGGCTGGGAAAATGGGCCAGTGAACCCCTTCTCACAGTTGGGGTCATCCCGGGCGGAGCCTCGTCGCTGCTACCCCCAGTAGTTGGTCCTTGAAATCCAGGATTCACGCTGCTCTTTTGAATTTCTTGGGTTTGGTTTGTTTGCCTTTTGGTAGTTTCTCAGTCACAGGGCTTGAACTCTGGGTATGGATCCACGTCCTTGAGCTCTCTGGCTCAAGGTTAGCCCTCTACCACTTGAGCCACAGTGCCACTCATGGTGTTTTGGTTTTTTCTTTTTTAATTTTTGTTTTCTGGTGGTTCATTGGAGATAAGAGTCTCACGGACTTTCCTCCCCGGGCTGGTTTTGAATTGTGATCCTCAGATCTCAGCCCCCTGAGCAGCTGGGATGACAGGTGTGAGCCACGGGCACCCGGCTTCCCCTGTTTGTTTCTGGGGACGAAGGTTAACCCCGTTACCAGAAGCTGGGGTTCCCGTTGGCCCCCCAGGAGTTGGCCCCCAGGACTTGGCCCCCCAGGACTTTGGAGGCATCTGCAGATGCGGTGGGAAATTCCTTGGGAGCGGGGCCGGGATGGAGAACCCGGGGTCCGGGTCCGTGGAGGAGGCCCCGCGCCTGCCCCGCCCCGCAGCCTGGTGTCACGCGGGCTCCAGGCCCAGGCGGCCCGGCAGGGCCCCTGCCACCCGCTTTCGGGTGCCCACGTCCCCGCGGGGGCGGATCACCAGCCCATGCCCGATCGCCCCATCTGCGGCCGGTTCACCCAGCGTTCGAGCCCGGTCGTCGCGGGCGGGCCGAGTGGCAAGCGGACAGCGCTGGGCGTGCGCCCCCCGCACCAGCCGGTCCGGCGGAGATGAGCGGGCATTGTGGGAAGTCCACGGAAGCAGACACACAAAGGGCGTGGGGCTGGGGTCGGGCGCGGGGCGCGGGGCGCCGGGCCGGGCGGGAGGGCGGCGCAGGTGAGCGCGGGCGCCCGTGAGCCCGGGCCTGCGCGGGACGGCGCGGGGCGCGGGGCGCGCGCGGGCGGGCGGGCGCCGCGTCTTTCTTCTCCCGGCGGTGATGTCATCGGGCGACGGCGGCTGCGGCCGGGGGGCGGCGGCGGGGGCGGCGCCCGGCGCCCGCAGGTTCCCGTGCGTCTGATGCGCGGGGCGCCTGACAGCGGGCCCGGACGCGCGGGGAGCCGAGCGGAGCAGGGCCGGGCCTGCGGAGCCCGCCGAGCCGATCGCGGCGCGCGGCCCCGGGGGGGGGGGGGCGCGGGTCGGGGGCGGGGACGGGGGCGGCCGCGGGCCGGGCCCGGCCGCCGTGCGGAGGTGCTCGGCGCGCACGGCGCCCCCTCCCTGCGCCCTGCCGGAGCCGCCGCCGCCGCCGCCGCGATGAATTCGGCTGAGCAGACCGTTACGTGGCTCATCACCCTGGGCGTGCTGGAGTCGCCCAAGAAAACCATCTCGGACCCAGAGCTCTTCCTGCAGGCGTCGTTGAAGGATGGGGTGGTCCTGTGCCGGCTGCTGGAGCGCCTGCTCCCTGGGACCATCGAGAAAGTAAGTGTCCCCGGCCCCGCGCCCCCGGCCCCGGCCCGCCCCTGAGCACCTGGCGCCGGCTCGGGCCCCGCGCGCCCTCCTTTGTGCGCCGACGGCGCGGCGCGGCGGGCGCGGGGGCCGGCGGCGGGAGCTCGGGGCGCCATTGTGTGCGGGGCGCGCCGGGGAGGGGGCCGGGCCGCGCGGGGACGGCCGGGGCGCGCCGACGGGAGTTCCCCGCGCGGCCCGAGATGGAGCCGCTCCGCCCCAGAGCGAAGTTGTTCTCGGGTGCGGGGGCCTCCACCTCGCCCGCGCCTCGCCCGCACCCGCAGCCCCGGAGCGGCCGCCTCGCCTCCGCCGCCTGCCGCTGCGGCTTTGTTCGAGCGGGTTTCGGCGGTGGCCGCCGGCGCCGCGCTGCCTCCCTCTCTCCCGGGCTGGGGACGCGAGTGCTCGCAGGGTTCAGAACCGCGTCCCCCGGGGGCCGGGGTCGGGGCCGCGGCCAGGCGGTGACGTGACCGGCTGCTCCTCCGGGAAGGACCCCGCGTTCTCCGGCCGCGCAGCCCGCGGCCCGTGGCGCCCCGCTCAGGGCCGGGGTCGGCCCGGCTCCCGGGGCTCCCGGGCCCGCGTCCTCACCGCCAGCTGCGGGGTGATCCACCGAAGTGGACCCCGAAGTGCATCAGAGCCGCAGGGCTCGTCGACACCGGGGTGAACCGGCCCGGGCAGGCCGGCCGCGTGCTAAAACGTGAACTAAGTGACCTGGAAAAGCAAAACGCTCGGTTTTATTTACGTCTGCGGAGTTACGCTGCTGCACCCGAAATCAGATCGGATGACAGTTTATTTAATAGGGTTTTTGCATGCATATCGATTTGAATAGCTTTTCCTGAATTGGAACGTATTTGTGAAAACAAAATGTCCATTTTAGGACAAATAGTTGCTCTTGTCCATGAATTGAATATGAAACTGAGCAAAAAAAAAAAAAAAATATATATATATATATATATATATATATATATATATATATATAATTCAAGGAACATGATCTGACTCCCAAGGCAGTCAAGACCATTGTCATCTGGATGTTGGTACCCCTGATAATAAAACACAGATGTTGGAAAAGCATCAAGATGCATGCTAAGTTTACCAAAATAGGCTTAAAGAAAATGTGGTTCCCTTTCCAAGAGCTCAGCTTTAAGAAACTTGGTGTGTTGTGTTAATTAAAAACATCACCATCAAAGCATATGGTATTTGGTATATTAACTACATTAATATTGATTGGAAAACTCCAACGATCATTTTCCATTTTAAATTCTGTAAAGCTTTTCTTAGAAAACTACGGCACCCCTTTCGTCTCTAACACAACAAAGGGAGAATGAATAAAATATTTAGCTTGTAACAGTCAAGATTGGAGGACAACATATTCTGGAACCACAGCCATATGGAAATTTGTCGGGTGGAGGCTGCAGTTTCTTTCCCGAGTCCACCGGCTGTTTTAAACATACAGCTAGTTTTTCTTTCACAGTGCAAGTTCAGCCTGAAAGCTATGGGACTCTGGTTCAAAGGTAGGCTTGAGAGTAAAATATTAGCCATTGGCTCCCTCTGAGTTTCAGAAGTCTCTGTTGGCTCAGTCGCTGTTATTTATTTGTGCTTGCGGATGTTTGTGAACAGTCCAATGTGCCAGGGGCACATATGCGGAATAGCTCTTGCCTAAACGGAGGATGTGAGTCTGAGGTCATTTTTCCTCAAGAGGGAAGGAACAATTGGACACTCAGCTAACATGTACGGCTCTGAAAGGATCCTTGCTTGACCTGAGCACCGTGTGTGGGGCCTGAGGCTTCCCTGTGCAGCTCACGTGCAGTGGGAACCTGGGACAGACACCAAATGCAGAGGTTTCCCATGTGTCTTTTATTAAGGAAACGAACCACCGCTCCCATGGTGGTGGCCTGTTCTGTTTCAGAGCAATCACAGGCTAAAGGGGCTTGGGGGCAGTCACGGAAGTCCAGTTCATCTAGAATGAACGGTCCAGGGCCCCCTTCCCTGAAGTCCAGAGGTGAGCCAGAGAGGAAGGACTCCAGTACCTCGCAAGAGCATTTCAGAGAGGCTTTTCACCGTTGCCAAATGTGTTTTCTGCTGTAGGGAAGAGGAACTTGGGGACTAGAGTCGCCCCAGTCCTGTGTCTGGAGAGCTTGCATGGTATCTTCCCAGGTGGGGGGATCTGGGGGGTGCTGGCTCAACCCTTTCCCCTCAGCACCTCCTCTCAAGGTCAGAAGGTTCCCGAGGCCCTCTGTCCTACACCCCAGGCAGCTCCTCACACGATCACTCCTCATCGCTCCCTAGATTCTATACACCCGGACAGTGATGACATGTAGACGTAGACGTGTTAGCGGATGGAGAGGGACCACAAGGTTCATAGGACGTGCTGTTTTACTTTTACTCATGAACTTGGCAGATAAAGTTCCTTAATTCTCTGTGATTCCCCCAGGAGGAGGGAGAGACTGAGCAATCTGTGTTGTTCCCAAGGAGCGTGGTCCTCCAGTCCTGGGGCAAGGGGGTGGGGGGCAGTGTGCATGTGTTGTGTGGTCTAGGGAGCCAGAAGCCAGGGATCAGGGAGGGTGTGTCCCTCACAGTGAACACCACCCTCCTACAGATACTGGAGGTCTTGGGTGTGTCTCTGCGCACCTCTAACACCTACTCCAGCTTCCTCTTGTGGAAGGACATCAGCCTACTGGGTCATGCCCCACCCCTACCCCAACTTTTACGTATTTCCTCATCTCAACTGTACCTGTCATGACTTCATCTCTATCCTGTGGCACTGGAGTTCAGAAATTTGCCTGTGAATTTTGGGGAACACAGTTCAACCCCTAACAGGTTGGCTAAAACATTTTAACCCGATCAGCTTACGAAGTGCCTACCTGCCTGCCAGTGCCAGTGTTGTGAGGGAATATGGAAGAACACGTTTTTAATGGGTCAGAGTCGGAGAAAATCCAACTCCCAAGAACAATGCCAGGGTCCACGCACAGGGCTGAGGCGCTCAGGAGAGAGGCCACGGGGTGAGGGGGTCAGGGGAGGTTGCTGATGTGTGGCCGTGCCCGGGGCGTGGTTACTCTCAGCTGACTCTCTTCAGCCCTGCATCTTTCAGCCACTTGCAGAAAGCCAGCGAGCGTGATAGAGCAGAGGAGGAAAAGCCACATTCCTGTTTGGCTCAGGCTCACTTCCCCAGGCCTGAGGTCTGAGGCTGGTGAGACAGGAAGGAAGATACAGGAGGTCTCTGACCTGTGGCAAAGGCAGAAATGCCTAGCACAAGAATCCACCTTCCCCGAGTGGTGCATGGCTGCCATGGTGTAGCATGGTGGTAGCAGGAAGGGGGCCTCACACTGAACGAGTCTGGTAGGCCAAGCCCTGTAGCCATACAGAAAGACGGGTTTACTGACAGCTTGTGCAAGAAGGCGTTTTCTGTCTTCTCCAGACAGCAGGCCCCTTCCAGACCATCTCAAAGGAGGCATCTTAAGACACACTCAAGTCTGGAATTCTTGGTGCCATTGATTCTTCTAAGTAGTCTGCCAAAGAGACCTCCGAGGTCTCAGAACGGCCAGCTTCATCATACTAAGCGTTTCCTTTGGAAGCACATGACTCTCAGCCCTTGCTCAACCCTGAGCCAGCCAGTGATTCTGCCTGGAGAAAGACACAGCTGGAGCAGCGTTTGCTGGCTCGTTCAAAATAAAGAAAAACTGAAGTTCAGCTGAAGTCAGGGACATCGAAAGAGATTTCCTGAAAGCCAGGCTGGAAGTGTTGTAGCATTTGTACTGGCATGACCCCCCCCCCCACGGCTGTACACCCAAATGTACACAAGCACATGCACGCACAATCACACACAAGCATGCATGCATTCACAAATGGCATAAGTGCAGGCACACAGGTGCACAGAGTCATGTGCACACACAGAAGCATATAAGTGCATTCACAAATGCACACAGTGCATGGATGTGATACAGTCATGTACACACAGAAGTATGTGTGTACGATCACACAAATGCATGCAGTACAGGAGTATGATAGTCATGTGCACACACAGAAGTACACTCACACAAGTGCACACAGTGTACAGGTGTGGTACAGTCATGTGCACATGCAAAAGCATGTGTATGCACACATGCACATGCACATAGCACACACATCCAGCTTGGATTGGGGAGGGCCTGTCACTGGCATGTCCTCTGGGGCTGTGTCCTGTGAGCCCAGCATGTGCTGTCCAGTGAGGCCTCGTTCTGTAATAGGAATAGCGCAGAACTGCCCACTCCCCTCCTCACAAAAGCACTGCCTGTCTTTAAAAACAGTAATTCTAGAAACATAAAGTCTGTCCACGCACCTTTTTTACACACAGTCCCACGAGCGGACTATTTTGCTGAAGACACTGAAGCCTGGGGTGCCTCTCACTGGTGGAAAGAGGAGGAAGAGGACAAGGAGGAGGAGGAGGAGGAGAATGACAAATGTAACCCTAGTCTGTCTGGGATGTTGGCAGCTACCACCTAAGGAACTTATAAGTGGAATGAGCAAAGGTGAGGGACTTGCTCGCCTGAGTATCCAGATAGGCAGACTTGGGGTGAGGGCGTGAGTCTTGGGAAGGGAGGGGCCGTGTGGGGAGTTCTTGGAGGTGATAATGGCCATTCTAACTGGGGTGAGGTGGCATCTCGGTGTAGTTTTGATTTTCACTTCTTTTATGCCAGAGATATTGAACATTTCTTAATGTGTCTATTGGCCATTCTTACTTCTTCCTCTGAGAAGTCTCTCTTTAAGTCTTTATTAATTGAGTTGCTGATTTCTTTTTGAGGATTTAGTTTTGGGGGTTTAATTTTTTGAGCTCTAAGTATATATATAGTCGGTTGTGGGGCTTGGACTCAGTGCATGAGCACTGTCCCTGAGCTTTTTCACTCAATCCTACCACTGTACCACTTTCTACCAGTTTTCTGGGGTTGACTGGAGATAAGAGTCCCACGGACTTTCCTTCCCAGCCTGGCTTTGAACCGTGA